ATAAATCTGAATAAAAATGGGCTGATTTGGTGAAATGCAATTGATGAAAATATGAATGGAAGTGAAGGTATAGGTTAATTATTAATGAAGGGTTAAACAGATGTTACAAAATATGAATTGATATATTCTAGAATGTTGTGGATGTATATAAAATTAAGAATTCATAACTTGTGGATAGTTGCATGTTACATTCCAATAAACGGAAATAGTAAACAGTTATCAGTTCTGAGAAGAAAAAATTATAATCTTCTGAATGATTGTGATCTGGATAAAATATTCTATAGATGACATAAATATGTAGAATAGGACTTGAAAGTATTTTTAAAAAGAAATCAAGCTATTTAGAGATCCAGAATTGAAATAGAATTGTATATATTTGTATTTACAATTTGTAAATCTGATTTGTATTTCCTTCGAAAGAAATGCCATTTCAACTATACAGTTTAAGAATAGCATGCATATATATCTATAAAATGAATTAATCTAAAACATGGTTAATTTGATTGTTAGTCTTATGAAAGTCTAAGTAATAGATATAAAGAAACAATTTTGGCAGAATTCTTATTCAAATGTTACAACATATGGCAATGAAGAAACTCTAGAAATTACAGGGCAACTATATCTGGTCATAATGTGTATTCAGACAATGTAATGTTGCTGCCCAAAAGCCTGAAAGATTTGCAGTGAATGTTAAATATACTGTATTATATGATGTAGTAAGAAAACAGATCAGTAAATGAGCATATTAAAAAACAAAATGGTTGTGTTTAAAAAGGAAAATAGACTGCATTAATTGCAAATTTTATATGTAAGATTGAAAATTTACAGCAAGTAAATGAACAGGTGTAATGAATGTTTATTAAAGTAGGGAAATGGATGTATAATGTTTAAGGCATACAAGTGCTAATAGAACAATAATAGGTAATATGTAAACTATTGAAGGAAATGAATGCTTTAAAAAAACCAAAAATGGTTATGTCCTTCAATAAAGCATTTTACCCACCTCGGAAGGATGGAAGCTGAGTTAACCTTGAGCCTGGTGAGATTTGAACTGCCAAATTTCAGGCAGCAGAAGTATCCTACAGTATTGCACTCTAACCACTGCACCACTATGGCTCAATAATGACTGATAAATAAAAATTAGATTGATAAAAATAAATTACTGCAATAAATAATAGTAGTAACACAACAATGCCTTGTGTCGATTGTTCTTTTGGTCATAGAGAGTCACAAAGCTATCAAGTGAGAAAACAAATAAGTAAAGGAAGAGTGTCAAGAAGAAAGGGAAGATTGAGAAAAACGTGGTTGGAGAAGTTCAAAAAACAAAAGCAATGTATGAATCAGAATATGCATATGATGGAAACCACATTATTTACCAGGTCAGAAAGTAGAGAGGGGAGAGTGAATTGTGCTGATCTAAATTAGATGTCCTTAGATTTCTTTTTCTTTTCTCTCCTGCTTTAAAATTATTTTGCTGTCTGCCTCTCTTTTCCTGCTCTTTGCATAATATGATTTACCTTGAAAAGAAATGACATGATGAGTGGGAATATACGGTATATGTGTATCCGCGCACGCACGCATGCATACATATTTACAGAGAGGCTACCTGATTCCCCGTGTCCAAATTAGAAAGTAGAATTAAGTGTGCTTATGTGACCAATGGATCCCAGCGTGATCAACATGTATTTTTATCTTTACATCTTCCCCAATAAAAGTGCTTTTAAGTTCTCTTATGATCAAAAATTAAGGAGAAGGGACTGGATTTTTTTTTTTATTATAGGAGGGGATAATGATAGCAGTTACAGCCATAAAGATTTCACAATAAAAATTTAAAAGTAGTGCATTATAAATAACAAATATAGCTGATGATAAATGAGCACATCTTAAGAAATCATTGTCAAGAAAACTTTTGAAATGTTCTTAGGGTTTTGACAGATTGGATCTCCAGAGACTTTTTGTGCAATTCTGAGATTCTGACAACCCTACAGTTAAAGTCTTGAACAGTTTTTCAGTTTCATGTGAATGAGGCAGGTCCTGCTCACTCTTATACTGTATATTGCTGCAGTTAGACAATGAGGAGCTGTAAGTAATGGAATTATTTTTCAAGCAGAAATCATAATGAATACTGTGCCAAATGCAGATATGTTTAAGACCAAATAAATCATGAAATCTGAACTCTCATTATCACTGTAAGTTGCAATTATGCTACTGACTTATGATTATGGAGGTGAATGCCACTACCTTATTATCTTCTACTTCTTTCAAAATACAGATAAAACTGCTTATTAGATTAACACACACCCACAAATTAGTCCTGGAGTGAATGGGCAGACTAATTCCCTCCTTATCATCATCAACAATGAGCTTTAATCTAAGCTTTAATCCATTTCAATATGAGCTACATGCCATGGTCCCGTATAAAGTCAGGCATGCACAAAAAAAATTCTGCTAGAGATAAAAAATGGGTTGTATTTTTAAAATAAAGACTGAAGTTTGGAGCAAAGCTGAGAAGAAAAATGAGGTATCTTTCGCACACACACACACAGAGGCAGTTTGAAATATAACAAATCCTTGGAGATCTGGGGATAGTACAAGAAGAACTGAGATGGAAATCTCCTTCAGGAAAAATAGCTATCTCTGAAAGAATAAGTTAAAACTGTAAAACTCTATGAAGCCCAGAATTACTTGGTTGAAATAGGCAGCTACAGAAATGAAATACATGAATTTAGCTATGAATATTGCATACAATATTATGGGTCTCTGTATAGTCTAATATAGGCTCTCTAATTATTGTCTCCATAAAAGCTCAGTTCTCAGATGCTTTATGCAAATTGGCACATCTGTAGGTCAGACTACTTTGGTATTAGAGCAGAAATGCCATCTAACTTAACTAAGATGATTAGGGGGACTGTAGGCTAAAATATACAATGAACGGGTGCAATTACTCAGCATGGCTAGTCTAGTAAAGAGAAGGACCAGGGGAGACATGACAGCAGTATTTCAATATTTGAGGGGCTGGCACAGAGAGGAAGGGGTCAAGCTATTTTACAAAGCACCCGAAGGCCAGACAAGGAATAACGGATGGAAACTGATCAAGGAGATTTAATCTAGAAATAAGGAGAAATTTTCTGACAGTGACAACCACCAATCAATGGAACAGAAGTTGCCTTCAGAAGTTGTGGGACCTTCATTGCCGGAAGCTTTCAAGAAGAGACTGGACTGCCATTTGTCAGAAATGGTGTAGGGTCTCCTGCTTGGGCAGGGGTAGGGCGACTCTGTTAATCTGTTTGTTCTGTTGGATTTGTTTTTTTTATTTTAAATACCAGTAGTTTTGTATGTGTTTTATAGGCAGTTACTTAGAGCTAAAAATGATTCTTTTTTTAACATTCTCCCTTTTACTGTATTTCAAAATAAACTTTCTGATTCTAAATCAATCTGTCTTTTCATAAATAAAAAGGGAGAAAGGAGTGGCTAATTTCCTAATCACTATAGAGCCAGGTGACACAATATAATTTATTTCTTTTTATCATTTTCCCTTCTAATTTACCAGGAATGTGTGCAGGCTATAGAAGCCTGATGTTCTGCACATGCTAGGGATTTTCACTAGACAGCCACACAGCCCCAGGAAAAGATGCGGCTGCTTTATAGTGTAAGACAAGCGCCTCATTCATACTCCTGCAGGCTTCAAAATACATTTTTCAAATTGCTTACAAAGGCTGCACAGGCCAGACATTTATGGCATAGTCACAGAGTGATACGTTGAGAACTGCAACTGGACCTACCTTCGAGACCGTCTTCTGCCACCAATAGCCTCCCACCGACCAGTCCGCTCCCACAGAGAGGGTCTCCTCAGGGTGCCATCAGCCAAGTTATGTCGGCTGGCGACACCAAGGGGGAGGGCCTTCTCTGTGGGAGCCCCAGCCCTGTGGAATGAACTGCCCCCGGAAATACGCAAGATCTCCGACCTCCGGGTGTTTCGTTGCGCATTGAAGACCCTGTTGTTCCGCCAGGCCGGGCTATCGACATGATAATTTTAAATTGGGGTATTTTAAATTTTTGGGGTTTTAAATCGGCCAAATCTATTTAATTATTTTAATTTTTAATTATTGTTGTGTCTTGTGTTTTTAAATTGGCTGTACACCGCCCTGAGTCCTTCGGGAGAAGGGCGGTATAGAAATAAAATTATTATTATTATAAAATTATTATTTAAAAGTGCAATCATTATCATAATGTAAAAAAGAAACCCAGTGGTCTTATGATATTAAGGGAAATATGTTGACTTTTTCTCAGAGGCGAAATCTGCTTACTTTCCTTACTGGTTCAGAACTGCACCCCCCCCCCCCCCGCGCATGCATCACATGTGTGTGCAGACCCTCTGTGCATGCGCAAAATCTTCTGCGCATGCACAGACTGTAAAAAACATATTACTTCCTGGTTAAAACCAGGAAGTAACGACACCCGGGCGGGTGGGCGGAGCCTCGTGCTGCCATCACTACCAGTTCTCCGAATCACCTTCTACAATCGCTACCGGATCGCCTGATCCGGTCCGAACCAGGAGCATTTCACCCCTGCTTTTTCTCTACTTAAAAACCACATAGCAGTGTTTATTTTTACAAAGATAAAACAAACGGGAATAGGTTGTTCTGATCCGTAACTCTATTTACAGATACAACTATCAATGGAAATGTTGCATTACAAGTATTTTAGAAAGACCATGAGATACCTTAATTACTGAGGTGAATGCTGAAACTGTCCCATCCATAGAAAAATATTATAATGCCATGATTATGATGACTTGCAAAACAGGACCATTTAGTTCACTGAGAAGTGAGTCTTCACAAGTGTCCTAAAAAGAGTAGTTTTAAAATATGAGTGTTAGTTTAATCTGTTTCTACAATTGGTTCTATATTTTATTTAATTGCATAGAAGTTTTTAGTTTTGAATACTAAAAACCTTTAAGAAATGTGTGTCAATCGTGAGAAAGCACGAAATCCAGGCAGTTCAAATGAATATAAAGGTTTATTGCAACCTTAAGCTCGCTACAAGAATCTGAACTACTAACAGCCAAAGTAAATTGGTGGTAGATAAGAGTATCAATGGAATTCAAGGTGGGCTGGACTTTGATCTCTTGTAGATGTGAAGTGACTGGAGACTGATGACACATTTGACCTCTCCCTTGGGCTCAGCCTGTCCATCTCCTACACTTTGATTTTAATGTTCTCAATATGTTGCTCCTAGAATATATGACTAAAATTGGACGAGTTCAGTATGAAAATAAAATTTAAATAGAAGGCTTTATTGAATACTGTACAGCTTTCTCTCAGAATTTTTAATTCTATATAAAAACTGCAAGGATGTGTCTAAGCAGTCTCCAATAACTGAACACAATTGAATTTGGAAAAAAGTATTAATAGCATATATTGTGTGCGCGCTCTCTCTCTCTAGGTGTGGGTGTGGGTGTGGGTGTGTGGGTGTGTGTATCAGGGGTGAAATCCAGCAAGTTCTGACAGGTTCTGGAGAACCGGTAGCAGAAATTTTGAGCAGTTCGGAGAACCGGCAAATACCACCTCTGGCTGGCCCCAGAGTGGGGTGGCAATGGAGATTTTGCAATATCTTTCCCCCAGAAATGGGGATTTTGCAGTATCCTTCTCCTGCCACGCCCACCAAGCCGGGCCCACAGAACCAGTAGTAAAAAAAAATTGGATTTCACTACTGATATATATTCAGTAAAAGGAATACTCTTAAATAATAATTGATAAATATATGAAAGCAGAAATAGGGGCAAAAAGAAATTCCATTTCAGGCAGCAAAAGTGTCAATATACTCTATAATATTAGAAAGAACTCTTCATTTAAAAATAGCAAACATGCAACAAAAAAAATCAGCAACAGCAGAAACATGAAAGTGACATTTCAGAGTTGGTGGAAGAAAAATAAGCCTCTTTAAAATCTGGTGTTCGTTCATGAAACCATGTCAGTCCTGACACAGCAGCTATATTTTTTCATCAGCATGCTCATTAAATTTTTTGAAAGTGAGAGGGCTGGCTTGCTTCAGGGAAGTCTTTGAAATATCTGTGTGCATTGTAGACATGGCTATTGTTTCATAGTCATCGACTCTGGTGTGGAAATTACAGAAATGAAAGAAAATCTGTAGATCCCGTTGAAAGTTCTTGTTGAGGAATCCGTAGAAGATGGGATTCACACAGGTCGAGATCATACCTGTAAGGTGACAGATTAAAAAGAGCAGATTATGGCTGCAGGCTGCAGGGAGAATTTCATGATTCCAGTCAAAGACCGTATTGAAGATGGTGAGTGGCAGCCAACAAACGGCAAATGCCACCACAATCGAGATCAGCATAATATTGATCCTTTTTGTTTCGGTAGACCGGTATTTATTATCCCTCATCTTATCCACCATGTTGCATCTTCTTTTTAATCGAATATAGATCTGTGGAAAATAAGAATTCAGTAATAACAGTGTAAGCCATTATCCGAAAGGTGCCATTTTGATAAGAACAAAGAACATGCAAGATATGTGACAAAAGAAACACTTCCTTACCTTTAAGTAGCAAATGAATATAAAACAAAGGGGCCCCAAGTATTGTATGACCAAGAGAATAGTAGTGTAGGACAATCTGGCTGACTCCCATGGAAATGAATCCAAGCATACATATTTTCCCTTGTAGTCCTCTATGGTTATATTAACGAAAGGTTCATCAGTTAAAACATGGTATACTAGGAAAGGCAGAGATGAGGCTATTGCTAGGATCCAGATGGTGGCAATTCCAACATAGGCATGTCTGTTATTAGGCCTCCAGCCGCGAGGGTTTATAATCAGCTGATGGCGTTCAATAGCTATGAGGACCAAGGAAAAAACAGAGACTGTGACAGAGACACACTGCACAAAAGGATTAAGTTTGCACATGGTCTCCCCAAAAACCCAGTGGTCCATTAGAGTATATACAAATGTGAAAGGAAGACACATGATAGTTATTAGGAGGTCTGAAAAGGACAGATTGACAATGAGAATGTTGGTCACATTGTGCATTTCTTTTTGCTTCAAGATTATAATAATTAATGCCAGATTTCCAGAAATGCCAAGAAGGATAACAATTCCATAAGCCAAGGCCAAGGTGAATACCATTGCCAAAGGCACATGACAGTCAATGTCCTGGAAATGAAAGAGACCACGAGCCTCATTGGAGTTATTTTGAATAGAATTATTTCCTGTGAGGGAGAGAAGTGATGTATTCATATTGGATTCTTCTCTATCTGAGATCACTCTGAGCAACAGACGAATCGGCTGTTCAATAGCTTTCTCTCAAGAAGTCGATTTTTTTTTCTTCTCATTACCCAAACCGCAGGTGGCCAACAAAAGGTGCAGCAGAAATATTCATGCCATTCATAATCTTGAAGGATCTGCAAAAAAAGGTGGAATGTTCCCATATTAATGTTTTAAGGTTATACCAAAAGAGAATTATGTAGGCATTTACTCAGAAGACTGCCCTTAGAGTATTTTGTTGATATCAATATGTCATTATTTTCAGTTATGAAAGAGTAATAACACCAAGGACAATAGATGAATTAACATCATGAACGGACTATAGGATTAAGGTATTAATTTTCATAAAATAAATTGGTTCAATTCCCACTCTGTTCTCCCTAAAGCATCTAGAGAAAAGTCGTATTGTTGTTATTGTACTTAATTAGAATTTATTAAGTCAGAAAGTGTTACCAGATTAACATTCAACAAGAGCAAATCCTCTTGAGGGGAAGTCTCTTAGGATTTTCAAACAATAGCCTAGCTCAGGGGTGTCAAGCTCGATTTCATTGATGGCCGCATCAGGGTTGTGTTTCACCTCGGAGGACTGGGAGGGGGGGTAGCAGGGGTGACCATGGCCATGGTGGGCATGGTCAGTTCAATGTCATTTGTGTCAGGGGGCTAAGGCAGGACTTCCCTGAGACCCTCACTCACTCTCTATAATCTCTCTTCCTCGCTTCCTCCCTCCCTCCCTCTTCATTCTCCTTTCTTCTTCCTTCCCGTCTTTCCTTATTTTTCTTTCTTTGCTCTATTCCCATCTTTCTTCTTTTTCTTTCTTTCCTCTTTCCTTTTCTCCTTTCCATTTCCTTCTTGCATGCTCAAATTCAAAAGGGGAAACATTTCTCTTTTTGTTTTGCTAGCCCTTTGCCAGTAAAAATGGGGTGCAGGGGGGGACTGTGTGTGGTCCCCCTGAGCTCCCTTTTTACTGACAGAGGCACCATGGGATGGTCCTTTGCTGTTTCCAGGCTGGCCCATGGACCAGATCTAATCACCCTGTGGGCTGCATTCAGCCCACGGGCCTTGAGTTTGACACCCTGGTCTAGCTGGATCTTCAAAGATTAATCCACTTCTATAAATGTTTATTAGTAACAATCCTACCAGATTCAAATGCAACTGTTTTGTGTTGCGTTGTGTTGGGTGGGATGGTTAAAATTAACTTTTGGATATTACTTACCCTAGAAGTTGCTTTTTATTGTGTGTGTTTTATTCATTACTCTTTATTGTCCTTACGGACAAATACAGATATGAGATACACAATTGAGCTCAAAATTTCTGTTGCAAAGTGAGACAGGTGATAAGTATAGTGCTCAAGAAAATAAAGAGAACACAAGCAGAAGACATCCGAGATCTGAATGAATGAAATAGCCTTATTAAATACTTTGTTCTTGACATACAGTAATTTATACACTGCTCAGACAACTAAAGGAAACACAAAACTACTGTAGGTAACGAACAAAGTATTTAATAAGGCTATTTCATTCATTCATTCAGATCTCGGATGTCTTCTGCTTGTGTTCCCTTTATTTTTTTGAGCAGTGTATATTTTGCTCCTTTTCAGAATGTTTCTTGCCACAATTGTTAAGTGAATCACTGCAGTTATTAAGTTAATAGCACTGGTGTTAAATGAATTTGACTCTCCCACTGAATTTGCTTGTCAGACGTGGCCACAGGATGCTGCAAGCCTCATAAATATGAATGAGTTGCCAAGCATCTGAATACTGATTGTGTGATTATGGGGATGTCGAGAAGGTCGTAAGTGTGAAAAATGATCGTAAGTCACTTTTTTCAGTGCTGATATAACTACGAACGGTGACTAAATGAACTGTTGTAAATTGAAACACGGGTGAAATCTAGTAGGTTCTGACAAGTTCTGGACGACCGGTAGCAGAAATTTTGAGTAGGAGAACTGGCAAATACCACCTCTGGCTGTTCCCAGAGTGAGGTGGGAATGGAGATTTTGCAATATCCCTCCCCCAGGCGTGGGGAGCAAATGGGGATTTTGCAGTATCCTTCCCCTGCCATGCCCCTCAGCCATGCCCACCAAGCCACACCCACAGAACCGGTAGTAGAAAAATTTGGATTTCACCACTGAGTTGAAGCCTACTTATATAGCTAGTAAGCAACTTTCCCCATTCTGATACTCCACCAGAATGTTCAGTCTCATCACAACAAGGGAAGCAAAGGTTTGCATTGGATGGGAATGATGAAAGTTAGATCAACAAAACAGAAAAATAACAGTGCTATTACTCTGTTGCATTGTAGTATTATGGAACACTCGGGAATGGAAAGCAAAAAGTAATTAAAAGTGAATGAAGGCAAATATATTATTTATTGCTTGTTGTACTTTATGATTGTCACTGGGTGTTGTGCCTTGTTCTTGACGAGTGTATTTTGTCTTTTTATGTACACTAAAAGCATATTCACCAAAGACAAATTCCTTGTGTGTCCAATCACACTTGGCCTATTCTATTCTATTCTATTCTATTCTATTCTATTCTATTCTATTCTATTCTATTCTATTCTATTCTATTCTATTCTATATCCAATCTGAGTCGCTCTGTGGGACCAGAGGGTTTTTTTTCCCAAGCTGTTGGACTTGTATACTGGAGCTTATCTTCAGGGAACTTGTCCATCATCTCCAGGATGTGAAGATTGAGAAATTCCCTGAGGATGGGCTCCAGCACAAGTCTGAAAGCTTGGAAGAACAAACCTTTAGTCAGATTGGATCCTGCAGTATTTAAAAGTGCTCTGATGCGTGCAATAGCAGCTGCTAGCAACTTAGCAAATTAAACCTATCTTCTTTTCCCGAGATCCCAGAGAAAAGCCTGCTTCCTTTAAGGAACTTCAGATAGATGCTACATTCAGGTTTCTATACACACAGGACTTATCTTTTTACCTCCAGATCTAAAATAGTGCTGCCTAGACTTACTGCTGAGTGTGGCTTTTATGAATTATTTATGGCATTTTATTGTGTTTTTTTTTTTAAATCTAACTTTATCCTTTTGACTTATTTTTTGGCATTTACAGCAGGGAGCAGCTAAAGGCAAGTAAAGTTCTAAATGATGGCGAAGCACAATTTTCTGCTTTTCTTTCTGGCCTTTGGAATCTCTTTGTATGAAAGAAAGAAATGAAACGGAGGCCTGCCTTGTGCATTGAATTTTTTTTTTTAAAGTTATCCAGAATTACTTGGTAATAATAATAATTGGGTTAAATATCATTGGGTTAAGTACCCAATAAATAATAATTGGATTACATACCATTAAATAACCCTTATATAAAATATTCCTCTTGTTTGATAAAAATACCATTAGTAAATTGTAAGAAAAGAAAGAAGGGGAAAAAAATCACCGCAATTCCTAGATAGGTTACAAATAAATGAAAACATCTGCATTTTAATGATGATCAACTTATTTATTTATACTTCATTTTAAAATACATCTTCTGTTTTAGGTCTGAGCTGCAAAAATGATTTGCTCAAAGTACTTCAAGACTTGCAGGAGTGCAGCATGTTTCTTCTCATTATTAAAGCTGCCTGGCCATTTTCAGACTTCCATGGGAGCCTGAAAAAGAGTCAAACCTTCCCCTTTGAGCTCACCTAAAGTCTGAGAAAAGGATATTGTCAGAGGTGGGCTGCTGCGGGATCGCAAGGGTTCAGAAGAACCTCTAGTTAAGATTCTGTGCAGTTTGGAGAACCCCCAAATCCCACACCTTGATGGCCCGGCCCACCCTGCCCTTCCCCTCCCAGGAGTCCCCACGCAGCCCGTTTTTGATGCTGGTAACTGCAGGGTGCGCAGGGGAGGGCAAAAAATGGGCCTATCAGAAATTCGGGAAGGTCAGAAATGGGCCCATTTCCGGTCTTCAGACCACGCCCAACATGGTCACGCCTACCCAGCAACCAGGCAGAGAACCCCTTGCTAAAATTTTTGAAGCCCACCCCTGGATATTGTTACGCTATGTAGCGATGGCATGACTGAACCTCTTGACTTCTGGAAGACCACAAACTTGTTTAGTTTAAAATCCTTAAAACTGTTTGTTCCACCTTTTTAGGATGAGTTCCTAAAATGACCATCATATAACATTAAATTTAGGATTTAAAGGATGCAGGAAGTGCTTCTGGATCCTGTCAAAAACATATTTGTCCAACATTGGAGGAGATGATATAGGAAATCAGATGGCGAAGGATTGTGTTTGATGGAGTATCTGCCACAATTGTTGATTCTTAGAAACCATATAGGTAGATTTTCTCCACCTATCCCTAACCTGATCTTTTAGGTGTTCCAGCAGTTCACCCATTCCCCCTTTAATTGAGTCTATCCACCTTGAAACTGCTCATCCTCTTCTCTTTTCTTCCAACTTTCTTACCATCAGAGCCTTTTTTTTTTTTTATAGAGCTAGATTTTTCCTTACATATCCAAAGTAGAATAATTTGAGCCTGGTCATTTGTGCCTCAAGTGAGAGCTCTGGTTGTTTTGTTTGATGATATATTGGAATATTATTATTGGTTAATCTTTAGTGAGATTCACAGCCTTTGAGGCTGGTTAATAGCTCAGCAGCTCAAGTCCTAACCAAGGACCTAGGAACTGTTAATGTATTGTCGGAGGATGTAAGCTGTTCTGAGTAAGGTGGTTTTTTGTAGAGTCAAAATATTCAAGTCCAGTAGATTTAGAATTTCTAAATAGCGGGGTAGCCCTTTGGGTATTGCTCCAAGGGCTCCAATTACAATCAGGACAACACACAATTTCTTTTTCCACAGTCGCTCAACTTCAATTTGTAAGTCCCGGTACTTTGTGATTTTTTCTTGCTGCTTATCTTCAATCCGTGCATCACCAGGTATTGCAATGTCAATGAACCATACTTTTTTCTTTTCAACTATTGTTATGTCAGGTGTGTTGTGGACCAACTGCCTGTCAGTCTGAATCCTGAAGTCCCACAAGATCTTGAATTTCTCATTCTCTAAAATTTTCTCAACCTGATGGTCCCAGTGGTTTTTGCTGCACTCAAATCCAAACTTCTAGCACAATTTCCAGTGAATGATCTTAGCAACGCAGTCATGGTGTTGTAGGTAGTCAGTTTGTGAAATTTTGCTGCATCCACTAGTGGTCGACTGTCTCATCTTTCTCATTACAGAGGTGGCATTTGCTGTTGGTGGTAACATGTTGAATTTTTGCCTTCATGCAGTTTGTGGCTAGGGCTTGTTCTTGAGCTGCCAAAATAAAGCTTTCTGTTTCTTTTTTCAGTACTCCTGATCCTAACCAGTTCCAAGTTAGTTTCTGGTCAGCTTTGCCTTCAATACTTTTCAAGTATTGGCCATGCAGAGCTTTGCTTTTCCAATTTTCAGCTCGCTGCTCAATTACTTCTTTCTTATATTCTGCTTTTGTTTTAGTTGTCTTTAAAAGGCCTCCTTTATTTACTTCCTTAATAACTGGTTCTTCACTTTTCTGGATGTAATCATTCAAGCTGTGTTTTTCTTGTTCCACAGTCTGCTTTACTTGTAGGAGTCCTCGACTACCCTCTGCTCTTGGTAAATATAATCGGTAAACATCACTTTTAGGGTGCAAGGCATGATTCATTGTCATAAACTTCCTTGTTTTTCTGTCCAAATTGTCTAACTCCATCTGAGTCCAGTCAATTATTCCTGCAGAGTATCTAATCACAGGTATAGCCCAGGTATTTATGGCTTTTATGATGTTTCCTCCACTTAGTTTGGACATTAATATCTTACAAATTGGCTGAATGTACTTGGCTGAAGTTAATTCCTTGACTTTATTATACATTATTATTATTGGTTAATCTTTAGTCAGATTCACAGCCTTTGAGGCTGGTTAATAGCTCAGCAGCTCGAGTTCTAACCAAGGACCTAGGAACTGTTAAGGAATCGTCAGAGGATGTAAGCTGTTCCGAGTAAGGTGGTTTTTTGTAGAGTCAAAATGTTCAAGTCCGGCAAATTTAGAATTTCTAAATAGTGGGGTAGCCCTTTGGGTATTGCTCCAAGGGCTCCAATTACAATTGGGACAACACACGATTTCTTTTTCCACAGTTGCTCAACTTCAATTTGCAAGTCCTGGTACTTTGTGATTTTTTCTTGCTTCTTATCTTCAATCCATGCATCACCAGATATTGCAATGTCAATGAACCATACTTTTTTCATGTGTTGTTGTTGTTATTGTTGTTGTTGTTATTGTTGTTGTTGTTGTTGTTATTATTATTATTATTATTATTATTATTATCTCTTTTATTCATTAAACATGAAACTCAGTCAACTGAACATTTAAAAATGTGTCACAAATACGATTGACTGATGCTAATGGTTTATACGGGTTG